GTGGAGGAGTGGCCAGAGATTGCTCAAACCCATTGTACGGGTTGATGTGTGAATGGAAAAAACTTACCCGCACCTCCTGATGTATACACCAAGCCAATAATTAAGTGATATTTGTCACCTTATTTAAATAAAAGCTAATAAGTATTTAACCATAGTTTACTCCATCTATTTTTTTATATAATAATAATAATAATAATAATAATAATAATAATAATAATAATAATCTTAAATATTTTCTAAGAAGCCGGACAACAACAAGATTTGACCATATACATCTTGACAATAGCATCATTAAAAGGAGCTGTTGGTGATTAACTAACCAACCAAGGATGTTAGTTATGCATTTGTAAGTATATTGAATAATCTGTTGCATTTTTCTACAAGCATCGGGGTACTCTCTTTCACTGCTTCTGGTCTCGCCATGCCAATCTCTCCAACTGAGGAGTAATGCAAAGTCTTATACAAGTGTGTTACAACTAATTAAGAAAAAAGGTTTCATGATATAACATCTTCTAGAGTATGTTGATCACAACCAGGTAGGAGTATAGTCCTTCTGCAGCATTTAGCTCGACTAGATTGGTGTTTTACCCAAAAGCATAATTTGCTTCTTGGAAGTTAGATCATACTTATGGTTTGGCAAGCATAATACATCTTTGATCTCTGTCTGATGCTAAAGGCTCTGAAATTCGATATTTAGCAACTATGTTAGAAATAAAAGAACAGGAAACTCGCAAGATGCAACAAGAAACTGCGGCGAGAAATAAAACAAGGACGGCAACCCTAAAAAGTTTATTAATGTCATTTATTAGCACTGTTTATTACCTTTTCGTAATTTTTTTATATTAAAATCAAATTTCATTGCTTTTCACTTCTCTTTCCTTTCTTATGAGTAATTGTTTTCTTTACTCATCTTCTAGACTGCTGTGCATCATTTATTTCGCCCGCGGAAGTTATTTGTCTCTCTATTCCCCTGTTTCTAGTATTCAGTCAATTCCTTTATAACACAAATGGTTGTGTTAACGCAACCTCAACTTTTTCAATAGGTATGTTTTTGCCTATCCCTTGTAAAAGAGCTGCTAAAAACAAAAGCTTAAGCTGATAGTTTGTCCAAGTAATCTTGTTCATTTAACTAGTAATATATTGATTTATTTTTAAATCTTCCATTACCTTTTTTTTAATAGGCAACACCGTTGCAACTTATCAGCCCTTTGATCTGTTGGCAGCATAGTTGGAAGGATATTAAGCGCTTGCGATTTCTGAGGTAATAGTACTGCTTCCTTTCAAATTTGTTTCCCACTCTATGCTTTTGTGTACAGTCTTTCAGGCAGTGTATGGTCCAGTTATTGCAAAATTACATGCTGGTTCAAAACGTGAGGATTAAAATGGCATTTTATTCCTTGAAGCTAATCTTTTCTTCTTTTCAGAAGGAGGTTGATTAGAACGATGTTGTCACGATCCGGAATTCCCACCGCCAGGATCGTGATGACGCCTAACATTTCATTTGTTAGGCAAGCCAACGCTAGAACAATTTACTTCTTTTAACATTTTAAGTGATAACACTGATAACGAACGGAAATAACAGATATGTTCTAAGTATAAATGCGGAAGTTAAACAACCAAACGTCTATTACAATTTCCTGAACCCGGTGTCACAAGTGCACGAGCTTCTAAAGTAATACACATAAGAGTCTGAAATAAGTACAAGTTGTCTGAATGAAGTTATACAGCTAAAAAAATAGAGAGGACGGGGACTCCAGGAGCTGCGGGCGCTGAACAGCCGTACCTCAAGTCTCCAACAATGTCCGATCCGAGCACGCTAATATTCGCCTCTGGGACCGACTCCAAATTCTGCACAATGAACAGAGTGTAGTATCTGTACAACCGACCCCATGTACTGGTAAGGTCTGAGCCTAACCTCGACGAAGTAGTGACGAGGCTAAGGCGGGTCACCTACACTAAAACATGTATGCAGTATATAATAATGACAAAATAATTGAAATACAATACAAAATTAAACAGCCAATAGGAAATGATAACCACAACCTCGAAAATAAACCAATGTCGTCCAGAATTTACCAATCTTTACCAGTTCAACTAAATATCGGAAAAAACTATGCAACTCAAGAAATAGAAACATATAGGTTGTTGCGGTGCGCAACCCTATCCCACCAGACAATACATAATCCTCCCTTATTCCACCATAACAATATTAACATCAGTAAAAAATATATATATTTGTTGCGGCGCGCAACCCGATCCCACCATATATCAAGATCAATATCGTAATTTCACCCTTGTTTCACCATATCAATCCACCCTTATTCCACATGTTGCAGCGTGCAACCTGATCCCACCGTATAAACATATTCATCCTTATTCCACCATAACACTCCTCCCTTATTACACCTGCTGCGGCGTGCAACCCGATCCCACCATATCAGTACCAAACACTCAATGTACACAGTCAAATCAACAGTCTAGATCACAAGGCCTTTACGATAAATAGATACCAAACTAAACCATGAACAAAAAAGGAGACATTATATTGTTCAATATAGAATCTACTCAAATAATACTACACAGCGAGACCAAACCAGGAATTTACAGTTAGGAGGTACCAACAAGTCAACTTAAGCAAATAGCAGGGATTAGGGGGGGGGGGGGAGGGGGGAGCTATGAAAAAAAGCTAACATGGTTCACAGAAGAAGATATTGATTAACACGTAACAGTTAAGCATGAAAATACAAGTAAAGGAATATAGCAATTATGACAAGAAATGAGACAATATGAGAGGAACGGGAAAGAAACAGGCAATACAGGTAAATTGACGGCGCATAGGTACTCGTCACCTCACCTATTCACCGCTCACATAGAGTTTATATAGCAAATAAGTCAAGGGTTCCTAATCCCTCGAGTCAAAATCTTATTGATATTTGGCTACATATTTGCAAACTTGTAACTAGGCTAAAATAGTGCAAGGTCAACTTATGGAGTGCATTATTCTGTAATTTTGTCAATCAAAATTCGGAATTTAAACCCACATATTTAAGCTTGTTAGAAATCTAATTTTCACCATCCAAATGGATTTGGTTTGTTGAACTAATATTTGAGTCACAATTACTGATTCGAAAATTAATTTAAAAGCTTGAGCAATCTTTTTAAAAAATTAAATATTAATTTCGAGAACCTATTGGAGTTTGAATGTTGAATCTTAGCCTATTATTTTTGGGCTAGTTGGTTGTAAATTGAAATATGAGCTATAAAATTGAAAAGCAGGGAGCCCAGTTGTTCTTATGTGAAATTTTCCCAATTTGATTTTGTCAGAAATTTGGAGTGAGTGTTATTTAGACTTGTTAGAAATAGCATAAGGAGGTTGTATATAAAATTTGAAGTCATTTAATCGAGATTTGGACTGGTTTTGAACAAGAATTGCAACTGAAAATCGTGGAAGAAGTCCGTCTACAGACGCTTGTATAAAGGTATATAAAAGTGTATAATAGTGTATAAGATGTGTTTACACTCTCATATACACTATTATACAAGATTATACAAAAAATCGACTTCGTCTTCTTCCTTGCGTCTTTTTTGAAATTTAACTCCAATTTTCCTCAATTCTACTCCAAATCACTTCAAATTTAAACTTTGAACTCCTTTTAATATTTTCAATCAATTGGAACAACACAGAATCCAAACAACCAACAAACTCAAAAAATCTCATTTTCGAAAGCAAAGCTTTGAATGGCCTTCAATGGTGGTCTGTCTACTCTTCAATTTTCCTACATTGCAACCATGTGGCACAGGGGGAGAAGCAGTAATGGCTGACGACCCCTTAATTCATATGTAGAAGATGTGCGAACACAGATTTAACTCCATAGCTATTAGAAACAATGGTTGTAAGAACACATATTTTGAATTTGCCTTTCAAAATATATACAATATGGGCTAGGTCAGGTAAAACTTAAAAACATCAGCCATTTTTTGTTATGGTGTGAAGTCATGAGTATTTTCTTATAATTCTTTCAAGCAAAAATGGAAAAATAAAAAGATTTTGAAGGGGAGTAGGTCAGGTATAGGTTAAATTACAGCTTGTTTGGATGGTTGTTACGTATCATTTTATAATGTATCTATCGTATTATATTGTATTGTACTATATCGTTTGATGAATACAATGTTTGAATAGATTGTGTCGTTTTATAATTTCACGTATGAGCAATATAAAGAATAAACTTACAATATTATAAAGAAAAATATGATACATGGTAAACTTAATATATAAAAAGGTAGGATAATTGATAAAACAAAATTATTTAACAATAATTAAGGGAGAGACTGAGAGAAAAAGACAAGGTAACGACGCGACCACACCAAATCGGTCGTTACATAAAGTGGCACATTTCGTCGTTACGCAACAACAAATTTAACCATACGATACAATAAAATTTAAGTAACAATCAAAACAACATCGTATTTAAAGTAACAATACGATACAATACAACGGGTAACAACCATCCAAACAAGATGTTAAGGGTGGATTTGTAAAGGGAATCAAGTATTAAAATTTGGGGGTGGGTTTTCAGCAGTTCATGTGATGCCACGTTTACCTCCAGTGAGATTAGGGGTAAATTTGAGCAATTGTATAATGGCAGGGGTAGCTGTAGACGAATACTCACATGGAGGATAATTTTATACTATTTCCGACAGTACGATGGGTATATTTAACCTTTTTTCCGGAAGTAAAAGGATGACTTTTTTCCAATTTGGTAGTATTAAAATACAAAGTCAATACTATTTGATGCGTTAACATTCGTAAACGCAAAGCTGATTATTTAAAAGAGAACCAAGGAACTAGAGTGTGTATTGTTCACAAAATGTTATTCCAAATTAAATGAATTCGTGGACTGTTTCCATCCTTATAATAATGAGTTTCCTTACATTTGCTAATGCTAACACGTTAAGTATCATTGACTTTGAATTGCATATCATGACCTGCTTAATGGAATTCTGATACCAAATTGGAAGAAAGTCATCCTGCAAGGAATTTCTGCAAAACACACAGTTAATGAACCATACTTGTTTGCATATTGCTCTTAGGTAGAGACAATATAAGATAGAGAAATCTTCTCCAAATTCTTGACCATTTTGTGATTCTACGTTTGGTTTGCAGTTTTCAGAAATGGATATCGGCCTAGCGGTTGGTGGTGCATTTCTTTCTTCAGTTCTGCAGGTTCTCTTTGATAGACTTGCTCCTCAGGGTGAGCTGCTGAAGATGTTTCAGAGGGACAAGCATGACATTCGACTGTTAAAGAAGCTGAGAATGATCTTGCTTGGTCTTCAAGCTGTGCTAAGTGATGCAGAGAATAAGCAGTCATCCAATCCATACGTTAGTCAGTGGCTTAATGAGCTTCAAGATGCTGTGGACACTGCTGAAAACTTAATGGAAGAAATCAATTATGAAGTTTTGAGACTAAAGGTGGAAGGTCAGCATCAATATCTTGCAGAAACAAGCGACCAACAAGTAAGTGACCTCAACTTGTGCTTGACTGATGAATATTTTCTTGACATAAAGGAGAAGTTGGAATACGCCATTGAAACACTGGAAGGGTTGCAAAAACAAATTGGTTACCTTGGCCTTAAAGAGTATCTTGATTCAGGTAAACAAGAAACTAGAAGACCTTCAACTTCTGTGATTGATGAATCTGATATATTTGGTAGGCAGAATGAAATAGAGGAATTGGTTGACAGTTTATTGGCTGTTGATGCAAATGGAAAAAATTTGACTGTAATTCCTATTGTTGGAATGGCTGGGATTGGCAAGACAACACTTGCAAAAGCTGTTTACAATGATGAGAAGGTAAAAGACCATTTTGATTTGAAAGCTTGCATTTGCGTGTCTGAACCATATGATATTTTTAGAATAATAAAAGGGTTACTTCAAGAAATTGGTTCATACAACTTGTTGGTTGATAACAACCTAAATCTGCTTCAGATCAAATTGAAGGAACACTTAAAGGAAAAAAAGTTTCTTATTGTTTTAGACGATGTTTGGAATGACAACTACAACGAGTGGGATGACTTGAGAAATTCTTTTTCACAAGGACAAACTGGAAGTAAGACCATCGTGATGACGCGTAAGGAGAGTGTTGCCTTGATAATGGGTAGTAGGCCAATTAACGTGGGGACTCTGTCTAGTGAAGTATCTTGGCCTTTATTCAGAAGACATGCATTTGAAAATAGGGATCCTAAGGAACATCCAGAACTTGAAGAGGTAGGAAAACAAATTGCAAACAAGTGCAAAGGTTTACCTTTAGCACTAAAGACACTTGCTGGTTTGTTACGCTCCAAATCTGAGGTTGAAGAGTGGAGGCGCATTTTGAGAAGTGAAATATGGGAGCTGCCGGACAATGGCATATTACCAGCGTTGATGCTGAGCTACAATGATCTTCCTGCGCATTTGAAGCGATGCTTTTCCTATTGTGCAATATTTCCCAAAAATTATTCAGTTTGCAAAGAACAAATCATTCAACTCTGGATTGCTAATGGTCTCGTACAACCGTTGCAAAAAGATGAAACAATTGAAGATCTAGGCAACCAATACTTTCTCGAGTTGAGATCAAGATCATTGTTTGAAAGGATCCGAGAGTCTTCTAAAGGGAAGGCAGAGGTAATCTTAATGCATGACCTTGTCAATGATTTGGCCCAAAGTACATCTTTGAAACTTTGTATCAATTTGGAAGATAACGGAGGATCTCATACGCTGGAGAAAAGTCGACACATGTCATATTCAATGGGATATGGTGACTTTGAGAAATTGAAATCCCTCTACAAATTGGGAGAGCTGAGAACATTGCTTCCAATCAGTTTTGAGCTGGATAGTTTGTTTCCTCTAAGCAAGAGGGTGCTGCATAACATTTTGCCAAGTCTAATATCCTCAAGGGCACTATCATTGTCTTGTTATCAAATCAAGGAGTTGCCAAATGCCTTGTTTATCAAATTAAAGCTCCTAAGATATTTGGACCTTTCTCGGACAGAAATAAAACAGTTACCAGATTCAATTTGTGTACTGTACAACTTAGAGACACTTCTCTTGTCACACTGTAGTTATCTTGAGGAGCTACCCCTGCAGATGGAAAAGTTGATCAACTTGCATTACCTTGACATTAGTAGCACTTATCGCTTAAAGATGCCGCTACATCCAAGCAAGTTGAAAAACCTCCATATGTTATTGGGAGCTAATTTTTTTCTAGGTGGCTGCAGTAGTCCGAGAACAAAAGATATGGGTGAACTACATAACTTGTATGGATCTCTAACAACTTTAGAGTTGCAAAATGTGGTTGATAGAAGGGAAGCTCTGAAGGCAAACATGAGGGAAAAGGAACATGTTGAAAAGTTAACATTGTATTGGGGTGGAAGTATTGCTGATAATTCACAAAATGAAAGAGACATACTTGATGAACTGCAACCAAATACAAATACAAAAGAAATCCTAATCATTGGATATAGAGGGACAAAATTTCCAAATTGGCTAGCTAATCATTTGTTTGTTAAACTGGTGGAGTTATCTCTTGTTTGTTGCAAGGACTGTGATTCATTGCCAGCTTTAGGAGAACTTCCTTCTTTGAAGTTTCTTGCCATTATGGAAATGGATCGAATAGCAGAGGTGACTGAAGAGTTCTATGGTAATTCGTCCTCCAGAAAGCCTTTTAACTCTCTTGAGAGGCTTGAATTTGCAGATATGCTGGAGTGGAAGCAGTGGCATGTACTAGAAATTGGAGAGTTCCCTAGACTTCAGTATCTTTCAATTGAAAGCTGCCCCAAGTTGATTGGAAAGTTGCCTGAAAATCTTTCTTCTTTGACAAGATTGACAGTTTCAAAATGTCCTGAACTACTTTTAGAGACACCAATCCAACTCTCAAGTTTAAATGAGTTTGAAGTTGTTGGCTCTCCTAAGGTTGGAGTTTGATACTTAAAGGATGTGATTCTATGGATGATATATCACCTGAGTTGGTTCCAAGAGCAGGAGAATTGAGAGTAGATCATTGCCACCACCTGACAAGGCTTTTGATTCCCACTGGGACTGAACTTCTGGATATTTCTGGATGTAGGAATCTTGAAATACTTTCGGTGGCATGCGGGTGTTCAGACGATGTCATTGCGTCGTTTGGGTATTTTCAAATGCCAAAAGCTTAAGTCGCTGCCAGAACGAATGCAGGAACTCTTTCCATCTCTTAAAGAACTGTTACTCCAAGATTGTCCAGAAATCGAGTCCTTTCCTGAAGGAGGATTGCCTTGCCATTTAGAAGTCCTTCGGATCGAGTATTGCAAAAAACTGGTGAATGGCCAAAAGAAGTGGTGTTTACAGAGATTCCCCTGTCTCACAGATTTAAGCATCATTCATGATGGTAGTGACGAAGAGATTCATTTGGAGTTACCTTGCTCAATTCGGCGTCTTACTATATACAATCTGAAAACATTTAGCAGCCAGGATATCAAGAGCCTCGCCTCTCTTGAATCTCTACACACTGGTAAGTTACCTCAAATTCAGTCACTGCTCGAAGAAGGGCTTCCCTCATCTCTCTCTGAACTAAAATTGTGTTACCATCATGAGCTCCATTTGCTACCGACGGAAGGGGTCTTCGACGCCTAACCTCACTTCAAAGTCTACGGATCATGTCCTGCAATCAACTCCGATCTCTTCCAGAGTCAGTGCTGCCCTCCTCCCTCTCTAAGCTGAGCATCTACGATTGTCCTAATCTCCAATCTATTCCAGAATCAGCGCTGCCCTCCTCCCTCTCTGTGCTGATCATCCAGATTTGTCCCAATCTTCAATCTCTTCCCGTAAAAGGGATGCCCTCTTCCCTTTCTGAGCTGAGTATTAGTTTTTGCCCTAATCTCCAATCTCTTCCAGTAATAGGGATGCCCTCTTCCATCTCTAAACTATCTATTTACAAGTGCCTGCTGCTCGAACCACGTCTAGAATTTGACAAGGGGGATTACTGGCCAAAAGTTGCTCATATTTCCACCATACAAGTCGACGGGGAACATCTGTGATGAACCAGTGGTGCTATAATACATGTAAGTTATTCTCTAGACTATCTATTTACAAGTGCCTGCTTCTTCTTTTTTTTTTTTTTTTGGGTAATGATGTATATACGAATGACCAGCAACAAGCATTTGATTTTCCTGGTCCACTTCACAGAGAGGACACCTGCTGCATATGATCAATCCTCTATCTGTAAGTTGCATTGTGTGAGACAAGCATTTCTTCCAACCAACCTACTGCAGCATTGTGTTCTGTATGGTGCACAGCTTTTCCAAATTTCTTTCCAAGGCCAAGATGAGACGGCGATGGAGTTTTCCTTTGAAGGATGGAGTAGCATGACTTAACAGAAAAAAACTTCTTTTGCACCCTTTCAACACAAGCACACACTATGCTGTTCCCAGTCATTTCAGTTCCTTCAAAAGTCTAAATTCCACACATGACTGGAGTAATAATCAGCAACAAGAGCTATCTGATTGGAAGCCAAAGCAAAGAGGTCAGGGAATTGTTGTTTGAGAGGGGTACGACCCACCCAAGCATCATGCCAATGCTTATCTTCCTTCCATTTCCCAACTGAAAATAGGTGTTGCCTAGAAATTCCTCTTCTTGAGTAGCTTTTTATTTTTCATTTTTTCTCTTTGCTTGTTTGTAAATTCTTTTCCTTTGTTAAATCTTGTTGAGCAGTGTGTAGCTTCTATCTCCACTATGAAGCCAAGGAATCATCTTCAGGTCAGGATGAATTTAATGTTAGATCATGCCAAAGTCAAGGTGATAAAATCTTTATAATCTCATTGAAACATTGTAAAAAGAATCTAGTACAGATAGGATTGAAATAATTTGCTCCAGAAACTTGATAGATTAATATAATATTAATGAACTAGTAATCTTTTACCATGCGCATATATGTCAGCCAGATGTTTGTTGTCTTTGGAGATTAATCTCAATTTTAATTCATGTATTCTTGTTATATTCTTATTATATCTCTTGAAGATTTTTAGTTCATGCATTGCTTGAACTTTCATCTCAATCGCAATGTATGTATTCTTGTTTTTTCCCTTTATCAGGGAGTTGAGCAAGGAGGATATGGTTTAGAGTTACGTACATACACTCTTGAATGCAAAGCCCTAATAGAATCAAAGGTATGCGCGACATAAATTTTGTTACCTATCTATAAAAAATTTAAAAAGTTTGCTTCCCAAAACTTTTACAGCTAAAAGCATCAGCACTATATAGGCGATTGTGTATGATTTTGGGATATCAACTCGGCAATTTTTTTCTTTCTTTGTCAGGATTTTGGTAAAAATATGTAAGCTATTAGAGCTCTTGGCTCATTTGGTGAAAGTAAAGTTGTGCTGACATTCTCTATTGAATAGACAATCACCTCAACTGTGGTCTACCAGCAAAGTGTAAGTGAAGAGAGGTGCTACTTCTCTTTCATCTGTCTGAGAAGGAAATTTTGAGCAAACTTTTTCTATAAGAGTCACTTCCTCTGTGTTTTTCCAACATCAATTAAAAAGACAGAGTCATTTTTATCATCCAGTGCTATTAACTACCAGAAATGATTTTTTTTCCAGCTTAAAGTAGGTCTGCAGTTTTGTTATAGCTGAGTGTGACATTAAGCTTACATTGCACTGTTTATACATTGGTCCAGGTAATTCTTTGTTTATAGTGGATTAGTTAGCATATAGATTTGACGCTAGCTAGTCTGAGGCTTGGCTCTATTAAAATTCATTTTCCTTACCAAATTCCTCAGCTTAATAAATTTTACTTGATTGCACCACTTTCAGGTTTTCTTCCAAAATATGATAACAAATCCGAGAGCAGTGTTTGACAGAATGGAAACATTTTGCTTCAAGTATCTCCTAATGAATGAGTAAGGCATGATATTCTTCACTCTCTTGATTAAAAAGAATGATTCATCCTAGTGCTTGAAGTTTCAATTTCCAGTAGAAACTAGAAAGACATAAACTTGGTGGTATGTTAGAATGTTGTATTTATCTCTTTGCCCTTAATGTCATTCCATTATTTTCCCAGGATATGAATAATGTTTTTCTCATTGTCAAACATATAGCTTTATCTTAAATCTACATATAGAAGTTAAATTGCAAAAGAAAAAAGAAATAGAAAAGAGCAGATAAGCATCCAAAGTCTAAGAAAATAAGTATACTTCCATTGCCAGGATTTTATCAGTAACACAGCAAAAGCATGAATCCCTTTTCATGCTAATTCTTCTGTTGTTTTGCTTTTAGCCTAAGCGTGGGACGAATATTAACCTTTGTCATCCGAAGCTTGATAAGCATGAAGATATGTTGTACTCCTGGTGATATGCAGTACAATACAAAGGTATATCAGCCAGAGCTTAGTCTTATTTAGTTTTATATGCATGTCACCAGACAATCTTATAAAGTATGACAGCTCTTTTTAGAATCATCTCTTGAATGGTTTTACAGCTAAGGAAGAACAACTTTTCTATTTTCATTTAATTTGCAGGAATGATTTCAGTCTGGAACTGCCTTGCTTAATTGAGAAGTTACAATTCGAATTAAAAAACCCTTCCTCCGTCAGTGATGTACAACTCGAGCATTACCCTGTGCTCCAATCTCTTCTAGGAAAAGGGCTACCCTCGTCCACTGCTATAACTGCATCTTGAAATTGAGGAAGTAAGAGGAGTGGCCAGAGATTGCTCAAACCCATTGTATGGGTTGATATTGAACTCATCTAGCGAGCAAGATCATTGGTGGTATTATTAAGGTAAATGATTCTCCAAATTAAGGCTTTTATTAATATTCGAGTCTTCTGTTTGCCTCATTATTAATTGTTTTTCTATGCTAATATTCTAGACTGCCTTGCGTTATTTATTTCCATCACGAAAGTTATTAGTCCCTCTATTCCCCTGCTTCTAGTCTCCAATCACTTCCTGTATGACATGAATGATTGTCTCCAATCACTTCCTGTATGACATGAATGATTCTTTTAGCCTATATTGTGTGGACTCTTAAAATATACCGCCAGGTGCGTGTCGGATCCTTCAAAAGTATTGCATTTTTGGAGGATTCGAGTGCGGCAACATTTTGGAGAGTCCGAGCATCATAGAATTTAGCATAACCTCAACTTTTTTAATAGTATGTTTTTGCTTATCCCTGTCACACCTCCTTTTTATATGCAAAACAATATAAGGGAGTTTTTCCAATTAAAGTGACATTATTCGAAATGGGATTATTTTATTTTAATTTATCAGAGTCGCCACTTGGAATAGTTTATTTGGTGTCCCATGTCACCGGTTTATTTTAAAATCCCAAATCGAGGAAATTTCGACTTTACTTTATAAGTCTGCGAACCAGAAATTCTAGATAAGGAATTCTGTTAACCTGGGAGAAGGTGTTAGGCATTCCCGGGTTCCGTGGTTCTAGCACCGTCGCTTAAACTATTAAAATTGGCCTAATCATCTGATTTATTACATGTTTTAACCTATGGTGCATTTTAGCTTAAAAACCGCTTTTAATTATTTTAAACCGCTTTTAGGTAGATTCAACGTTATTTAAAACATGCCTTGAGCCACACTACATGAAATGCACCCGCGGTTCGCGACACGTTCTATTTAACATTGTTGAGAAATTGAAATTGGGTCACACAAAATGTACACCCGGATTTAGTAATTAAAATCACAACTACGTCATGGGAACCGTACCCGTAGCTATGATTGAATTATTTAAAGAACGCGCCTAAAGAAACTACGAAGGCTTAAATTAATAACAACATTTATGAGGGCGATGGAGAGTTTAATTGATGGCGCACCTCAATTTTTACAAGGTTTGAATTAGTTTCATGAGGGCCTTGAATTATTAAAGGGAAATGGCACACCTCAAATGGTTTTAAAGGAAACTTATTTAATTAAGGCCATCTAAGGATATTCTTGTTAAAATATCATGGTATAGCCAGTTTTCACACTGGTCAATGAAAAATAGCCAGCGTTTATCAAGTCAATGAAAAATAGCCACTATTTTGCTGCAACAGGGACCAGTCCAGTATAATATACGGGAGTTCTGGTGCATTTGTGTACGAACTCCAGCATATTATGCTGGACCGGTATACTTTGCTAACTCCTGTAAAATTTGCGGGAGACTGGAGCACCAGTGCTCCAAACTCCAGTATATTATACTGGACAATTATACTTGCTGGAACTCCCGTAAAATTTGCGGGAGTTCCAGCATAATTATGCTTGAACTCCCATAAAATTTGCAGGAGTTCCAACATAGTTATCCTGGAACTCCCGTAAAATTTACGGGAGTTCAAGCATACTTATGCTGGAACTCCCGTAAAATTTACGGGCGTATTTTTCCGGATTTTGAACAGTGTTTTCGCTCAGATTTAAAGTGGCTAAATTTCGATGACTTTTGAAACTTGGCTATTTTTCAACGACCAGTGGTAAATCTGGCTATTTTTGAATTTCTCCCGATATTCTTATTTGAAACTAACCTAAGCTTAACAAAAGCTAAATGATTATGAAAGGTTTTAGATGTTTTAGACAAGGGGAATGGGCCAGCAGTGGCTCCTCACTTGGACGAATCGGCTGTAAGGGTTGCATTTGGGCTCATGAATTGGCCCAGTAGAGAAGAAACCCCAAGTTTCCGCCCAAGCCAGAACTTCGAACAAATTCACCCACATCGGGCTTATTCCAGGCGGGCCTCAGTTAACGTCTGGGCCTGTCTACCTTATATTATAAAGTAAAACTCATTTGATTGCAAGAAAAGAACGCAAGGAAATAATCTGATTGAATTCAATAAAAACCATGAATTGAAACCAAACTGCAATTAAATCATTTGGCAAAAGGGCCTAAAATCGAGCCCAAGCTTAGAATGAAGGAGGGTGGGAACACAAAGGGGGCTGTTATGGCTTGGCAGCCTAATTTAGGCCTATGCCAGGCCCAAAGCGCCTCACACACTTAAAATCTGCTAAGGCTCAATTTATGAAAATACAGGCATAGTTATACTGGTACCAATGAAATGCCTAACATGCTGGGCTTTAACCATTATCATTCAAAAGACAAGAGGAAGCTTTAGACTATTCATACATCACCAAAAATTCAAGATATTCTAATGTTCTAATGATCACATTATTACTTGAAAATGAATATATTAAGCGTAATGTAAACTATTGATTAACGATAATCCCTTATCAGTACTGAACTCTGTAATATCAACTATGCAAATTGAACAATGACTTTTCTTTTGAGAAGTGTGTGAACTTAGCCCTTAGTTTTGCATCATGACATTACATAATATATTACTGGCCTACTCAATGAAATGGACAACAAAAAGGCCAGGCCCTTATACAGCCTTTTTAGGTTTTCACAGACCCAAATTCACAACAATAAACTGCTGAAGGCATTCACCTCTACTATCTTTCACATTATACCTATTTACAGGGAAATTCCATATTCACCTAGTAACAGCCACAAATCATACACCATTAAACAACAAACTCATGAACAAGGACTACAGCTGTGAAATGATAAACATAATCAAACTGAAACTATCAAACTACTACATTAGAGAACTACAATTGAAATTCCAGGCAGTAGTCTTCCATGATGTTGCTAGCTTCCATACATGAGCAGGTCTATGGTTAAGCTTTGAACTCACATGAATCTGACCATGTAGAGGCCAGATTCACTTAGAGCATGGCTCTACATATGTAACAACTATGTTATCACATAAACTCAATCAACAATCTAGGCCTATTAGGTAAGAATGGACAAATGGAAATAGTCTATCTCACCCAAATTCAACAGATAGCAAGTACTGCATTTAACACACAAATTAATTCAAGTTTTAAATTCACACAGTATCAAAATGCAGTCAGAATACTAACATGAAAAGAACAAACATCCATCACAGGTAACTAGCAACTTTTGATCCCTATATCATTTTAACAAAACTCATTACATAGGAAAAAATTGAGTTCAATACCTGGAACAAGTAGCAACAAGAACCCGTGAATGCTTAAAACAGGAAAATATTGGTTGCCAAACACTTGAAAGAAGCAAGGAGCAACAGCAGAAATTAGGCAGCCCATCAACCAAATAACTCTCAGAGTTTCAAACCAAAACCAAAAAAAAAGAAACACTTGAAGCTAGAAATCCCGAGTAAATAAACCAGAATACTCTCTATTTCAAACCATGTGTTATAACTTGTGAAGAATCAGAAAATGAGAGGATTTTTGAAGTTTTTTTCAAGATTCTGGAGTCTGAACTTTTCAGAAGGAGAAGGAGCTTTTTTTGTGTGTGCAGAGAATAAGGCTAAAATCTGTGTCCATTCTGTATAGAAATGGTACCAAAGATGCCATGTGCATGGAGGAATTATTCCTCAGCCACAAAAGCATATTCCAACAGAATGGGACAGCTGGTTTTCCCCCATTGGTTTCAGTACTTTGTACTAACCAAATGAGGCCAGCTGCCCCTCTTTTCTAGAATATTCTGATATTTTTTCAATTAGAAAACCCTAAATTGCCCTTCTAAAGCCTGCTTATTACAGTTTCTACCTAAACTTTTTAGTTCAAATGGGTCCCTAAAGTTTCTATTGGTTTTCAAATTAAGTCAAACATAATAAGAAACAAAAGGGGATCCAAAATCTAAATCGAGATGACTAAAAGAAACATGATGATGTAATTTAAAATTAAAACTAAACTAATTTTTTTTGTTGGTAATTTAACTTTTTCATTACCAGGGAAAACATTTACAAGTAAATCAAACCCTTACAAGTTATCCTGCTTTCTATACTTCACCCATCCCCATTTCCTATTATTTACACATTGCCTACCTATTTCATTGGGTACCAGTCAAGTCTATGTAGTATTTTCTCTGTATGCCTACTACTTCGACAATGAAGCTCTTGTATAATCTTCTTACATATTAGTTCCCACCCTTTCACCTTAGCTTGAAAAGTTCGAGCATTCCTTTCTTGCCACAAATAGTACACTGTTGCTGCCAGTGCTATCTTGTATAACTCAGCAGCTGCTGTTTTCCTCTTGGTCCGCTTCTCAGCCCATCGTAGTTCCTCATCCCAGCCATTTACTGATCTTTTGATCCCTTGCCATGCTAACAGTGTGCTCCATAATGTATTTGCATATGAGCATTCAAAGAACAAGTGCTGTATGGATTCGTTGGCTTGCTTGCACAGAACACATTCTTGATCTACTTGCATTCCCCAACTCTGTAGTCTATCTCTTGTGTATAATTTCTCATGTGCTACCATAGTTAGTATAAAGGTCCACCTGGGGCATCCTGTGTTGTGGCAGACGACTCTTCTCCAACTAACTTTATCAAATCTTCCTCGCAGTTTGTGGTATATGCTTTTGATCGAACAATTATTCATCTTCATGATATCATCATAACTAAAGCCTGCTTCCATAAATGTCTTCTTTGCCTTCATGATTTTGCTCACCATCCAAGATGTTTGTTTCAGTTGAACATCCCATATGTGTCTGTCTTTGATGTAGTAACTGTGCATCCACTGTATCCATAACTTCTTCTTTTCTTTGCACAAATTCCAGTATTGTTTACATATGGCTGCTTTGTTCCAGATGGTTATGTTCATAATATTGAATCCCCCAGCAGACTTAGGTAGACAAACTTTGCCAATAGAGCCTTCTTTGAAACACTCCCTTCTCCTGTCCACAAAAAACTCCTGCATATTGCTTCAATTAGCTTTGTGATCTTTTTAGGGAGCACAAAGATTTGTGCCCAGTAGGTCTGAATAGAGAACAGAACACTCTTTATCAGTTGAATCCTTCCAGCATAGGATAGAAACTTGGCAGTCCATAAAGTTATTCTGCCCACTATCTTATCAATTAGAGGCTGACATTGTATTATGGATATTCTTTTTGAGCTTAATGGGGCACCTAGATATCTTACTGGCAATTCCCCTCTCTGGATTCCTAGAAATTCTAGGATTTCCTCTTGAACAGCTTGTGAGACTCCTCCAAAGAATATAGAACTCTTGTTTTTATTAATCACCAGACCAGATGCTTTTGAGAACTCCATGGAGCACTGGAACAGTAGTTTAACTGATCCTATATCTCCCCTTCAAAACAGTAAAGATCATCAGCAAACTCAAGTTGCAAGATTTGCATCTTTGCACACTTGGGGTGGTAGTTGAAGTTTGGGATCTGATTCAGAGTCTTCAAACTCCTTGTTAAGTACTCCATTGCTAGCACAAACAAGAATGGAGACATTGGGTCTCCTTGCCTCAACCCCTTCTTAGCATCAAAAGGTTTTGTCAGATTCCCATTAATCACTACTGTATAAGTAACAGTTTCCATACAAGCCATGATCCATCTCACAAATTGGTTTACGAAGGCCAAAGCATTCAGCACTTGTTCCATGAATGGCCATTCAATTGAATCATAAGCTTTCTGCATATCTAACTTCATCATACATCTACGTGAAACCCCTCTCCTTCCATATCCTTTCACTAGTTCATGACTCAGGATAATGTTATCAGTAATTACTCTACCAGGCACAAATACAGACTGAGTGTTGTCAATTAATGTATCCATAACTCCTTGCAACCTCTTAGTTAATACTTTGGATATCACTTTGTATTATACAGTGCAGCATGAGATAGGTCTATATTCTTTAATACTAACAGGATTCTTGACCTTAGGGACTAAAGTGATTGCTGTGCAATTGACAGGTCTGTACATATATGTTGTTTCAAAGAATTCCAATACAGCCTTTGTTATATCCTCTCCAACAATTTGCCAGGCTTTCTTAAAAAACACAGCATTAAACCCATCATAACCTGGAGCTTTTAGGTCACTGATGTCCTTCATAGCTGCCCATACTTCTTCCTTGGTTACTGGCTTGATCAGTTGCATCTGCTATTCCCTATTTAATTTTGCACCCAGCTTCATAACACTTGGATTTATAGCTGGGATACTTTTAGCTTTTGACCCCAGAAGTTTCTTATAGTACCCTAATATTTCTGCTTCTATATCATCCTCCAGAACAAGATGAGCTCCCACATCATTTGTTAAACTTTGGATTCCATTCAAGTGGTTCCTATTCTTCATTTGTGCAAAGAAATAGGCTGAGTTTGAATCCCCCAATTTCAACCATTGTACTCTAGACCTTTGTTTGTATATACTTTCTTCTATCTTTCCCCATTTTTCTAGCTCACACTTCCATGCTTTCTCTTTCTCAACCAGCTCTTTATTCTGTAATTTAAAGCTCATTTCCTCTTGCACCCCCTGCAACTCCTTCCTAGCCTCCTTTATCCTTTCATCAACCCCTTTATAGTGTTGTACGTTTATAGTTTTGATTATCTCTTTTACACTTTTGAGATTGTTCCATACATCCTGCATTGTCCCTTTTGTGCTCCTATCCTTCCAAGCTATTTCAATCTGTTGCATGAATTGTGGGTGTTCAGCAATGCAATTGAAAAATCTGAATGGCCTGTTTTTCTTTCCTTGTGTCTGAGTGATCACTAGCTTCAGAGGTGAATGGTCAGAAACCAGTGGTTCAAGCACCTGCACTTTCACATTTGGCATTGTCATCATCCAGTTAACATTTACAAGCCCCCTATCTATCCGGCTATAGGTATGGTTGTTAGTCCATGTGTAGCTCCTTCCCACATATTGTAATTCATTCATCCCTGTGTCCCTCATATACTCCTTGAAATTTTTTATTTTCATCTCTTGTACCTCAGTTCCATATTGCCTATCTTGAGGATGTAAAACAGCATTATAATCCCCCATAGCTAGCCAAGGCCCCTGCTGAATGCTATGAATTTGTCTCATCTTGCTCCATAACTTCAATCTGTCTTTAACAGTATGTAGGCCATATATTGCTGAAAACCCAAACATGACTTCTTTTGAGATAATTCTTATTTGACCATGTATCAATTGCTCATCTACTTCCACTGGTTCAAATGTATATATCCTAGGATCCCACATTATCCAGATTCTGCTTTTATGACTTACACAAGCATTAGATATCCATTTCCATCCCGGTGCTATCTTCTTGATCACCTCATTTGTTTTGTGCTCTTTTACTCTATGCTCTACTAATTGCTTTATTATTCCCATTTATAAACTCCTTTACCTCCTTTTGCTTATATGTTTTATTCAACCCCCTCACATTCCATGTTATCACACTCATACAGGTATAAAATAGGGATGGTGATACAATTCGTGCACCTCTGAGCTCCTCAACTGCATTTTGCTTGTACCTGGTTCATCATGTGTTTGGTCCTTTGCTAGACTTTGGAATCCATTACTTCCAGATAGGTCCTGCTCCTCAGATTGTTTAGCTTTGGCTGCCCTAGCTGCTGATTTTCCTAGGACTGTTATCCACCCCTCATCTTCTCCTTGTATATCCTTGTTTTTTGACTCTGGCTCTGACTCCTGGTTAGTCTCAGTTATTTTCTGTTGTTCATTCACCTTCTTCTCATTTCCAGCATCTCTATCTGTTCTGATCCAAACTTGCTTATTTTTTACCACCTTCCTCTGCTGCATCATCCTTTGTGGTTGTGCTTTTTTAATCTCAGCACAATCATGCCCTATTTTCAGACACTCTGTGCAGTATTTTGGTTCCCAGTCATAAGTAACTTCCTGCTGAATTAACCTCCCCTTGTGGTCTTGTAGCTTAACAGACCTAGGTAGAGGTTTAGTAATATCCATTTCAATTAGCATTCGTGCATAAGAGATCCTAATTGAACCAGTGATGTATTCATCAGCATACACCGGGTTTCCTAATATACTACCTATCTTGCTTAGTGCTTTCATACTCCACCAATTGATAGGTAGATTAGGGAGTCTCACCCATAAGGGAATAGTTTTCAGGACTTCATCTTGAACATTGAAATCTTCTGACCATGCTTTCATTATTATAGGCTTGTTGTTGACTGTGTGAGGTCCAGAGTATAGCACCTGGTCTCTCTCCTCCAAATTGCTAAATCTTATCACAAAATATCCTTCATTATGGTAATAGATCTGCGGTTTCACTGGGAATTTACCCACTGAGCTCAGGAATCTATCCATTGCTCCAATAGTACGTGTTTCCCCAATCACATACATAACAATAGCAGTTCTCCATTTCTCAGTTTCTAATTCAACATCTTCAATTTCTAACTTCGCTATTTTCTCGCCATTTTGGACAGCTGGAGCTATGAACTGTAAATTCATACCTTTCATGGCCCATTTGTTACCTACCACCACACTTGCCCAGGATTGATTCCTCTGCTCATTCCTTGTTTCACCTTTTTCTCCACTTCTAACAGTACCTGAGCTGCATAGTACTGTTCCATTTGTGATCTGCTTCATAACTTGCGTTTGTACTTTCTCGTTCCCAGATCCTCCACCTACAGCTTGTACAGCTAACAGCAGCTTCCTTCGATTTGCCTTTCTCCAGTGAGAGATCTGCTTCCTCCTTGCTTAGCTCGCTCTGCATGCTCCTAGGAGTACAATTTCCAGTTGATTCTTCAATTCGTAACCCTTATGGCGACACAAACAATTCCAATACCGCATTCCTTGTTTCTGTTGATCGCTGGTTATTGATTGGTATCCTCGTCTGGTTTTTCTTAGGTCTGCCTCTCCCTCCCATGGCTTCCAAGCGCACGTTAGCAAGTCCACGTTAACGTGCGCCGAGAGAGAATAGTGCTCTAGATTATTAAAACTAAACTAATTAGTAAATGAAAATGCTTATCTAATTAACCCTAAATGAAAACTGAATTCAAACGAATATTGGTGGCAGAAATAGTAACAAACAAAGAAACAAATATGATAATGCAATGAAAGCTAATAATTAACCTAATTAAATCTAAACTTATGCAATTGCTTAATAAACTTAAATATGCTTCGACCAAGAATAAATAATTAAACTAACAGTTGTGAAACAAAGAAAGAAAAAATCTAAAATAAAAATTCCTAAAACATGCAGCTAAACGGAAACAATTAACATAAGAACAAAAATACTTAAAACAAGGTAAAAGTAAACAGAAAAAGAGAAAAAAAAACAAGAAGAAAGAAAATTACCTAAAATTTGATTTTATTATGAACTCGGCCAAACTTCAAAAAACATAAATGAACGTTAATCACCATTTTAGTTCATTTGCCCAAGTACTTGAACATCAGAAGAAGAAAGGAAAAATTAGGATTCTTTCAGAGTCTGAGAATTAAAATTCGAACAGATTGGGGGTGATTCGAGGGGGGCTAAGGGTGTTTTGGGGTTCAGGTAGGGGCAAGGACTATGGGGTGTTAATTTGGGGCGGATTGGAACAGTTAGGGTTTTTGGTATCGAAATTTCGATTTGAAATTCGAGGAGTTTGGCAGTGATTTGAAGGAAAATAATTGGAGATATGGATTGAGGGGGGTGTGGGGATTCTGTGGTGTAAATCTGGGAGGCTTTGGACCACCGGAACCGCCGTGAGGCGATTTCCGGCGGTGGTTTACGGTAGAGGCGGCATGGAGAATAAAGGGGCGGCTAGGGTTTGGCATTTAGAGATAGATGAGAGACAGACTGAGTGAATTTTGAGGTTTGTGGGGGGGGGGGGGGTGACTAATTTCGGACAGTTATATGGTAAAAGGTTGGTTAGTTCCGGGCCGTTGTATTAACAAAATCCAACGGCTGTGATCAATCAAGCACGAAACGGGGTCGTTTGGGGTTAGACGGAGCTGGACCGGGTAGGCTTGTTTTGGGGCCTGGGTTGTGAGCGTAAATTAGGCTGGTTTGGTCCAGATTTTGGTGTGAAACTAGCCCAATGACACCCCTTTTCAAATCTCTTCTTATTTTCCTTTTTCCTTTTTTTTTCTTTTTTTTAATTAAAAATTCTAAATTATCTCAAACGTGAAATTAACTAATTAACTAATTATAAAAATTATAAACATCACCTAATTCTAAATTGAAGGGGAAAAAATTAATAAACTAAAAATTGAAAGACAAAAAATGTAAAATGAGCTATTTTTGTGATTTTCAAATTTCTATAAAACAAATAATTACTGATTAATTCTAAAAGTGTAAAACAAATCCTAAATGCCATGCATGATATTTTGGTATTTTTTCATGATTTAATAAAACTAAACATACACAAAAATGCAAATAATTAAATAAAAGTTCTACAAAAATTCCTTAAATGGCAAATAATTAACAAAAATGTATTTTCTTGGGATTTTATAGGAGTATTTCGTATAGGCAAAAACCACATGCTGACCATCCTTGTAGAACTGCTTGAGAAAAGCTTAAGCGGACAACTTTCAAGTAATCTTGTTCATTTAACTAGTAATATATCTATTTATTTTCAAATCGTCCGTTACTTCTTTTTTATAGGCGACATTGATGCAATTTATCAGCCCTTTAATCTGTTGGAAGCATCATTGAGAGGATAAGCTTGCGATTTCTGAGGTAATAACACTGCTTCCGCTCAAATTTATTTCCCATTCTATGATCATTCAGGCAGTGTATGGTCCAGTTTACATGCTGGTTCAAAATGGTGAGGATAAGTGAGATTTGATTCCTTGAAGCTATTCTTTTTTTCTTTTGCAGAAGAAAATTGATTAGAATGATGTAATGCCTGGAGTTTCATCTCTAGTAGCATCTCAAAGGCGTGCGTTATTCCACTTGAAACGTAGAGCTCCAATACTAAGGAGATTGCATTTTTCAAGTGATACATCCCTACTTTGTCTTCCTTGAGATAAAGTCTTGCCTTGCTGAAAAGTTTTTGATACTCTGAAGCTTTCATCAGTATTTATTCCTCTGGATTGAACATCAATGTTGTCCTACTGTCTAATTTCCAATGGAACATTATGTAATGCTCCCTACTGCCACTGCACTCTACTTCAGTGGATGAGTGAGTATTCATATTATTTTGAGATGGACATGCTATGCACTAAAAACTAGAATAAATTAGGCCTTTCCACTTTGATTCTACGTGTTGGCTAAGGGCAAGGCAAGCACAAGGCCAACACAGTTGCAGATGGAGCACATAAACAACAAGTTCAACCGAACTTAGCAATTTCTATACATAGTTTAGATAAATATATGTGAAATTCACTAAATTTTAAAAATATTATTTTTTTAAACCCATAATTACAAAAATGTAATGCGTTAGTGATAAAAACCTAAAGGTTGAGCATGTCAAATTAAAATCCTGGTTCCATCTTCGAGGCACATAGAAGCATCAGCACCATATTTTAGGTTATTATGTATGATCGATCATCTGATTGTAAGTTAGTGATTAGTTTTTCTTTCTTTATCAGGATTTTGGTAAAAATATGTAAGCTGTTACAGCTCTTGGCTCAGTTGGTGAAAGGAAAGTTTTGCTGACATTTTATTGAATAGACTGCCACCTAAAATGTGGTCTATCCGGCAGTGTGCAAGTGCTTCTCCTTTGTGTGGAATTTGACAGTACTACTTCTCTTTCAGCAGTCTGAGAAGGAAATATTGTGCGGGGTATTTAGGGGGGGTTTCCCTATATTAATTTTTGAACATCAATTAAATCATTCAGTGTTGTTAACTCTCAGAACTGATATTCTTGTCCAAAATAGGTCCATAATTTTATAAATGTGAGTGTAGTATAGCCAAAGAGTCTGGCTTTCTTAGCATTCAAGCATTCCTAATTCCTACTCAATTATAACAATAAAGCATATATTCAATGAGATAATAGCAAATCCAATTAACATTGAGCTAATAATCGAACACCCATTTACTTAAACTAATTTCTCTGCACGTGCGTTACACATGTATTTCAAGTCAAGTAGTATGCTTTTTAGTAAACTAGTTTCTGGACACGTGCGTTGCACGTGTATCCCTGATAATTTGTACAATATTTTAAATATCACATAGACATTAAAAAGTATTTGAACAATAATTCAAGAGATAAAAAAATAAAAGTTTTACTGCAACATTATGCATATACAGCTACGAAATACATTGTAGCTAAATATGAAAATTTCTGTGGCTAAACACTTTAGGCACCATATTTTTTCCCGTAGCAAGATGTAGCGTAGCTAAAAGTTAGCTACAAACTTTACATGGTCTGTGGCTAAGAACTAATACTTATTGCTATGAAATTTTTCTGAGTTGTAGCTGTGATAGTAAAAAGAATTTGCCACAAAAAATATACTTATAGCAAGTGATTTTATTCTTTTGCCACGACGGACAAAACTAATAGCTATCTTCATATTGTAGCCACAGGGTATTGCATCGTAGCAAAAGATTGAATTTGTTTGCCACACAAACTAAAATTTTGTGGCTATTTCTATAGCTTAGTCTCGTGGCAATATTACTCGTATTTAACTATGAAAAAAAAAATCTATAGCTATAAATTGAAGTATTTGCCACAAACATTTTTATATTGTAGCTAAGAGTCAATACCTTTAGCTATAAAATATATAACATTATAGCTAAATTTTCATTTTCTACAAAAAGAGTAAATGTATAGTCATACCCTTTTAACATGGTAATTATATACACATTCGCGAAGAGTCAGTGGAGGTCAGTGGGAGATTAGCCTTTGCGTTCGCGAGCGAGGCTCCGCCTTCGCGAAGGGCTGGATGCTCGTGCATCGCGTTCGCGAGATGGAAGTCGCGTTTGCGTAGGGTCTTTTTGGTCAGCTGGTCTGAGGTAGTGTTTGTTCTTCGCGTTCGCGAGAGAGGATGTGCGATTTGCTCGCGCTTCGCCCGATCTTATAAATAAATATGAATAAAAATTTGTTGTTAAATTTTTTATAATCTAAAAAACAATCTTGACTGTTCAATTCTCTTTTCTATTTTTCAGTCATAACATTATCAACTGTGATGTAATTGCATTTCTAAAGTTGATTACTTCTTTCTAAAATCTTCTAGACTTGCTTTCTCTAATTTTATACACATTAAAGCATAGTTTTACTCCTTTGCAAGAACTTCCTCGGGCTAATTTGAAGGTTTAAATTATGGGACTAAATCTTCTTCTATCAATAAAGATAAAAGAAAACTTTAATGAATATTAACTATTGACATTGATACCTTATTGTGCTATTTGCCATATTTTGATGACATCCTACATCATGCCACAAAATGGTACCATCACTATTAAGCTTTTCAATTTTGAAAACAAAAGTTGTGTGAAAGAAATATTGTATATATTGAAACTTAAAAAATTCAGCACAACAAATAGTTCTTCTATGTGTTGTTAAAAATTCAAGACAAAGTTTAATTTTCTATTTCTATAATATCTTTGCATTATACTTCATTTTCATTCTTTTTCTATTTTTGTATTTGGAGTACTTTTGAATTTTCAAAATAACGTACTAAAAGAAAAAGAGAGAAAATATAGCCTTTAAAACACTTAATGAATATTGAGAAAATACCATTATTACAATATTCACCTGAACAATTTTTTGTTGTATTTGTGTGATATTATATTAATTCAAAGAATACAAAATATATGTTCGGTACCAACAAAATCAAGGCAAAATTATACATAAACAAATCATTTATCAAAACTGCAAGACAAAGGAGAAGAAGCTGAAAGAGGAGGAGGAAGAAAAGTCAGTAATTCCCATTCCGCTCTATTTAGTCCCATTTCATATTTTAAATTTTTATTCAGGCCTATTCATTCTAGAGAAATCTAAAACCACAAATAATAGTAATATAATTGTCAAGCACAACATCATATTGCACAACATCATTTGACAACGATATATATAGAATCTACCTGATGATAGATTTTAATATTTTGCAGGAAAAATAATAATACATACAATACATTCTCAGTTACAAACATAAGTATTCTCCCACTTGACACACGAGGAGGAATCAATTGACCCAATCACATATACCTCCCCCATTCAAATTGTAGATTAAAAAGAAGAATTTAACTACGTAAAATACACGTGTAATCTAAATGACATACATATATGTAAGTTGTAACAAAAAATGATCTCATACATATACACGACCACATAGACAGTGAGCACAAATTTATGAGAAGAAAGCGAGAGAATACAATAGATGCCTATAGATTTTCGATTGCTTTGCTGGTATCGCACTCTTTAAAATAGTCCCCGCAGGAATACCCTTAAAATCCTCAGATCAGACATATAGATAAGTTTCAATCATTTGTCACAAAAAAAAAAAAAAATAGTTTATTTAACACAAAATTAAAAATTAATTTTTAAAGAAGGCACAACCCATTTCAGGATATGTCCAAGTATTGCTCTCAAAAGAAATGTTGCAAGGTGAGACAAAGCTTTGATGGTGTAATTTTTTTTATATAAAGCTTTGATGATACTCACAGAATGAGAAGTGAGGAGTTGTAACGGATTGATTACAATAAGTTGTTACAAGTACGTCTCTTTAGGGACATCAGTTAAAAGATTGACAATAGTTGCTTCCAAGAAACGGTTGGACTCCCCCGTAAATGACGTAAGAAACGTTTCAAGCAACAATTGTTTCTTGTTTAATACAATTTTTTTATTTATTGAATATGAATGAAAAGGTAAAAATGCCAAAAAAAGGGAGGAAAAAGATAAATACAATTGCCAGGATGCCACATCACCTTCTCAATGCCCGGCTTTATTAATAGATATAGATTTAGCTGCGAATTCAAAAACTCACAGGTACAGATTGAAGAATTTGCACCAAGAATTGTTACTCACAAAACTGTTTGACTCAAAAGTTATTACACTTTTTAAGCAAATCAATCAATATAGATGAAGGGGTAAATCATAGTCAATCATAATTAATACTGGATCAAAGAACAGAGTCATAAAGATAGAAGATTGAATTGAAATGACACTTCGGAGGTTTTATTGATATATAGAAATTTGGCCTACCTCTCCTTGAAGAGGTTCAAGAGATTACCATCAAATTATCTCTTCATCCGTAGTTGAAGATAGAATCTCTCTCTTTTTGTATAGGCTCAGTCTCTCTTTCATGGAGTTCTCTCATTATTCTCTCTGTTCGTGGATCATCTAGAGCCCAGCCCCCCCGAAGAGGCTCTTCTGCCCTCTACTTATAGTCGAGAACTTCTCGTGCTCATCATACTTTATTTGGGCCGGGTCGGGGAGGTGACCTCCCCTCATGGAGAGGCCTCGACCTCGACGCTTATATCGTAAATAGCAGTGATTAGACGAAGTCGAGTTCGTTGACTACTACTGCAGAATGGTTGGGACGGGGTCATTGCCGCCGTGGTCGTGTGGTCAGATTTTGACCAATACAAGAACGTTATAATGTAGGTAAGAATCCAAATATTTTAGATTCCAAAACAGGCTTCAAATTACACATAATTCTGTATTTCAATTTCAAAATATTAACATTACACAATGCTTCTGCGACACTATCTATTTGAGACCCAAAGCCACATAGTTTCTTCCTTATCTCCTCCCTTGTTTCAAACTGCACCTTAGCCTGATCGACATCGATCTTAGCTTGCCACTTGTAAGGATAAGAACTAACACAATGAAATTTACACCTTTAAGACAAAGCCTTCAAGTACAAACACAATAAGCAAGGTGAAGTCCAGGTGTGATTGTAACTACTTGTGTTCTTTCAGCTACTGCAGTAAAACAGAACCAAGAGAGAGCCATATTCACAAAGTAGTTTGACTTACTGACAAACACTTCTGACCTAAAAAAAATGAAGAAAGTAACTCGTGAGTCATGTAAAGCTCCCGCGTATCATGTAATATATCTCTTCTTTCAAAACCAACTTTAATTGAAAAATTATACTAAGCAACAAAGGTTCAAACCACCGAATATGAAATAAGTTATCTACTGATATAAAGGCATACAACAACAACAACAACAACCTAGTATAATCCCACTAGTGGGGTCTGGGGAGGGTAGTGTGTACGTAGACCTTACCCCTACCCTGGGGTAGAGAGGCTATTT